TTCAAGGCTGAGGATGGTATGGCCTCCAAAGTAAGAAAAGGATAAGAATAAGAGGAAGCTTCATGATAAACTTTAGAAATCTATCTGACTTTTGGTTTTCATTTCCTTGTTTTAGTTCTGTTTATAAGACAATTGTCTTTTCATAGAGTAGCATTCCAATTTTCAATAGTAAGGCTACCCGTGTTCATCCAAGATCAGGTTTCCAAGGCCCCATTTTAGAAACAAGCATAACTCAAATCATGCCGTGCTTCAGAGCATTCCATGACAAGCAACAGAAGCTTTGCAAACTATGGTCAGATGGCAGATTGCATGACCGTTAGCCTGAGAAACATTAGGTGGATTGCTGCTTTGTCCACAGAGGAGTGGCACATAGGAAGTATCAAGAAGAGTGGTGGCAAGAGTGTTACAAACTCTGATAGAAATGTGATCCCTAGTGTTTCCATAAGAAAGAAAACCTCAAGAAGTGCCTTTACCTGGTGGCTCCCAAGCAAGCTTCTTTCTACGAGGACTTCTTGAGACTCTTTCAAGTAGACTGCCACTGGCACTTATGAGTGTATTTGAAGATGCTGAAACTGGAGTGCTGGAATCATAGATATGTTAATCTTTCATTTTCAAGAAGATTGTCATATAGACTTATTTCGCCATTCCCACTCAGGACCCAATACTCTAGACAGCAAGCTTGTATTACATAAGTTTGCAAGACATTGATTCATTTTCACATGTGAGGCATCAGAGAAAAGGAAGCCAATAAACAGACCTTTCTGGTGTAGTGTATTCATTCCTAATCTGGCCTTTTCACTTTCTATGATATCAGTAGCCCATGATAAACCATAGTCCAAAAGTATTAAGTGGAAAACTCCAGAAATAAAAATTTATAAGCTTTAAATAACTTCCAGTGTTATAATTTTTCTATTTTAATTGTTGTTGTCAATCTTTTATCATGCCTAATTTATCAAGTACCCTCTATTATAGGTATACATGTGCAAGAAAAACATAGATGTATGAGGTTCAATATTATCCTTGCTTGCAGGTATCCACCAGGGGTCTTGGAATGTATCTCTTGAAGGGGATATTATACTTGAACATTTTATTAAGGCATTTTATAAGATTCTAGGTTTTTCTTGCTTAAGTTCTTTTATTGGAACATTTTAAGTAGACAATATGTTTACATTTATCATTGGGTGCTTGTACCTGTACATGATGTATCTTGGTTCTTATTTTTTCCCCATTACCTGTGCACCCTTCATCCCCTCTACCTTTCCCTATTTACATAGACTTTGTTTCCATTTTTTTCTTTTCTCATAATTTTTCCTTTTCCTTCTTTCCTTTCCCCTTCCCCTCCCACTTCCCCTACCCCTTTGGACCTTTTCTTCCTATTTCAAATTATCAATTATACCTTTTATTCCTTATTTACACTTTCAGTTTCTCACACTAGAGAAACTATTCAGTATTTACGCATGTGTGTCCTATTTATTTCACTTTAGAGTATGGCTTCAATATGCATCCATTTAAGTAAATGTGTATTTAGATATATTGTCAATATTAAATATGTCAGAAAAAAGAAATAGCCAAGAATCTTTTAAATACATTTTTCAAGACATACAAATGTCCTTGGAGGATAATTTCTCCAGACTATAGTGATTAGCCAATTAGATGAAAAAATGAATATATAGTTGTTTGTATATAAAGATTAAAGTAGTAACTTTGAAGTTTCTTGTCCAGTAAAAGGCATATTAACTGGAAAGAGGCTAAGTGTTATCAAGGGTCAAAGGACACAGAGAGTGTATAACTGGCCCCCTGAGGAATCAGATCCTTGCCCTTGATGCCATGTTTATAGCACTCCCACAAGCTTAGATAATTGGCTGCAAATATGCCATTTAGTATCTGAGCTCTAGTAAGCATGGTTTTTTGCAAACACAGCCACCTTCAAGTCCTCACTGAGTAAGATTTGTTCCCAGCCAATAAATTTCTCTCGGAGAAATAGGAATGGGTTGTAATTTTTTAAAGCATTGAAAAGTGTCATTTTTTTCTGGAAGTTTCTTAAGCTTGAAAGCCACGATTTTTCTCTGTGAGAGCTACCTGATGATCTTGGCTTACGCAGTCCTGGCTACACTTGGGCAATGACTGGGTCTCATTTCTTTTTATTTCTGTTAGGAGGGCTTGAGGGCTGAAAGGGGGAAAGGAGAACTGGATAGCTCAGGGGCTAATGTCATCTGATCTCTCTCACCCTAAGACTTTTTTGAATTTGGCATCTCTTCACACAGTCTCAAAATACACACTAGCCCTTCAGCAGTCATTGACAAGTGGGCTCTGGAGTCAGACTGGCTGAGTTGGAAGCCTGGATCCCCCAATCACTATATGTGAGACTTTAGGCAAGTTACTTCATCTCACTGTGCCTCAATTTCCTTACCTATGCAATATGGATAATAATTAATAACCTGGATAGAATTTTGACAAAATTAAATAAGACAATATATGCAAAACACTTAGTCTGGCACATAGAGTAAACATCTGGTAATGTTTGCTATTAAAAAATACCAGAAATCAAAGATTATGAAGGGATCAGGACCTTCAGATAACAGGATGGATGGGAGGAGAAAGAGAAGGAATAAATGTGGGACATGAAATGTTGGCAGAGAGACCATTTCTGAGTGAAAAACACTCTAATAAATTCCTGGACCCTGGGAAGACTAGGATTATGTTTGTGGAGTTTGAGATCAGGAAACAGAAAAAACAAACATGTCAGAAGGGGAAAGGGAGGTGCTGGTTTGGGGATGAGGGAAAACGAAATCCTGAAGATGGAAAGCAAAAACTTTATTTCAAGGTTGTGCTCAAAGCTGAGCCTCATGAGTGGAGGCAATCTATTTCCCTTCTAGTTTGGTAACCCTGCCAATCTTCCCAAACCAGGCACAAAAATCCCCATAATGCCAACTTGAACAAAGTTTCCGTGCTCTTCCATGCTTCCTTTTTCCTTGAAAACAATAACTTAAAAAAAAAACTTTATTGGTTCTCTGTCAAACAGTTAACATCCTCCTTGCCCCACCCTGTGCTATGAGGAGCGGGTGTCCCACCTGGCAATGTGATTAATCCCTGTGGAGTCAGGAAGCTGCTAATCTCCCACCAAGTCTTGCAACTAGAGAGCCCAATGATCTAGCCTGGATTCTTTTGCCTGGTCTGGGGTTGCCCCTTTAGACAAACTAAATGTCTGCTGTGGGGGGCCACTTGGGCACTTCCCCACACCCTACTATCAGCAAACCATATTTTTTTAAAGTAATTTATGAACATGACTTCCCTATAGCAAAGATTATCTTCAGAGTTTCCTTACGTGTTGTATTTTTTGACTCTGTGATTTGAGTCCTAAAAACTAGATGTATATCTGAAATGGCAGCTTTTTATTAATGAGCTCACTTGTCCTTTTCTAGTTCTGAAAGGTTAAGTTTCAGAAATAGATTTAGGAAGATCTGAAGAGGTTTACTGATCATCCACAAATTCTTAAAATATTAAAAAGGGGTAAGGTTTTGTTTGTTGGAATTGTCAAGTTTTGAATTCTTGGAAAATATAATTTCTATAATGGTATATATCATATTTGAATTAATGAGCACATTAGATCCAGAGCACCCAGTTTTGTTTTTGAGGGGAGGCAGTGGTTGAGTTTCTCTGTAGTCCTTAATTTTCTTTATTTAGGGTGACTGGGTTCCTGAGACAGTCTGTGTCTAATATAAAGCCCACAGGCATCTAAGAGGTTAAGGAATGTAAAGAGGTCACTCCTGTATTAAAACTAACATGAAATGAATAAAACCCACCAATATGTAAGGAAATAATTACAAAATTGCAAGAGTGGTTCAGAAATGGTGAGCTCCAGGACAGTGGAAAGAACTGTTTTTGTTCATATAAGTTTTCTTAGAGGACACAAAATATTTCCTAATTTCAAAAGAAAAGGAAACAAACCCTTCACATTGCGCTCCCCACACTGGCCTTTGGGTACACGGAACCCAGTTTGTGAACTACAAGAAAGTAAGCAGCTTCAGGACCTATTCTAAAGTGCTATTTGCAGCACAAGAGCTTAGGAAGTGGTTAGTTTGGCACACTGACACCCTTTCACATAAATGCTTAATAGGGGCGCCCCTACTTAAGGTTAAATCCTGTTTGCCCCACTCTTTTAAACCGTGTTGTCGGTCCCTCTTTATTCTGAGGACAAGTGGAGGCGAACAGCTTGGGCGAAAGGAAATATTTTTCAATGAATGAGGGAATGAATGAAACCATGTCTCAACGCTGGAGACTGAGGAACATGGAGGAACTTTCTCCTCCCTTAGCGAGTGAGAGTCGCAAATTCAGAAACTGGGCAACCAGGGCTGCAAAGGTTCACTCAGTGTCTCTTAAATCCAACCACTTGTTCACAGGTGCAGTTTCTGTGAGCATCAGTGGCTCCTGACTGGTACTAACTACTAGCCCCTGGGGCAAGGAGATGCCACCTGCCTGGAGGGTAGTTCAACAGAGCTCTGTCCAGTCGTTCTGCTCTGTTCTGTTCTGTTCTGTTCTGTTCTGTTCTGTTCTGTTCTGTTCTGTTCATGGCTAGTAGCTTCAAAGGCTGAGCTGTGGCAGCCCTAAGGCTCCACTCCTCCTTTCGAACCAGGGCTTGCACAGGTCTGATCCCTAACCCGGTGGCAAGTCATTTCCTTTTCTAACTCGATGAAGTTTTGCAATAAACTGAGCAATAAAATCAAATGAGCAGAAAGAGAAAATAGACAGCTAGAAAAGTTTCTGGGGGGCAAGAGGGCACGGGCTAGGCTGTTTGGACTGCGGCAGAATGTGGGGCCCATGCTGGTAGCGGTGCAGAGTGGGACCGGTTTTCCGGGGCTAGCAGCTGCCTGGAAAAAGTTTCCTGTGGAACTCTTGCCAGCGGGGGCGGGGGCGGCAGGAGCAGCAAAGGACCTGAAAGGGGGCGGGAGGAAGGGGGCGAGAAGGAGGGGGCGGTGTGAAGGTCCAGAAAAGCCAGTGCCAGCTCACAAACCGTTATAGTCCTTTGGCACCTTCCTCGGCCGGTGGACCCTTAGACTGCCTCCCTGCTTCGCAGCTGCCCACCTGGCGAAGTGACGCTGCGCCAATCCTGTTCCTCCAGGGCCCTTCTCCTTGCACCGCCCCACTCCTCACCCTGAAAGAGGTGCATCCAGCCAGGAGGGACACTGCACTCTCGCCTTGGAGCACCCTTTTAGCTTCTCTGTCTCCAGGACTGAAGCTCAAACTCGTCTCTCGCCTTAGGCAAACTCTCTTTCTGCTTTTCCGCCCCTCAAACTCAGACTTCCCTCCGCTCCTAGCTCTTTCCCCTCCACTTTCTCCTCCTCTATCTCCCACTCCACAAAAACGATCCCCACTGCTTTCTCCCGCCCTCCCACTTTCCCTCTCCAGACTTCAACTCCTTGTTTGATTCCACCTCAGACTCGCAGAGAGCACGCCCAACTTTCAGTTGCCTGCGCTCAGCTCCCTTTCCTCTAGAAGTCATGGCGGGACCTGGGGGCTGGAGAGACAAGGAGATCGCAGATCTGGGCCACTTGCCGGTAAGTAGAGGAGTCTGTCACTCTCTAAGTGCTTTATTTCCCTGGGCTTTTAGCACCGGGGGAGGGAGCAGACTCCCTCAAGCCAGGCTAAGACGTGACTTCCAAAGAATGGCTGGTACCAGAGGGGACCCTGGAAGCAGGCTGGGCGGCGAATAGTTGCCTCCTGGGACCAAGACCTCCCTGAACTCCACCACAGAGCAAAGGGAAGAGGCAAAGTCGGGGAGGAGAAGCGGCAGTGGGCCCTAAAGAGTGGAACATTTTCTAAATGTAGCCAAATCCATTTTTTAAGTTCCTTTTTTAGACTGGCATTTCACTAGAACCCTCTCTTAAATTCAAAGAGCCCTTGGACTCTCCGAAAGGGAAATAAGCAAGCACTCTGCTGGAATGATCTCCAGGCATCTATATTTCAGAGCAGTGGCCTGCTTGCTTTGGGAAAAGCTAACTATTAACCATGAAGTTATAGGACTATTCAAAGTCGCCTTTCTTTAATTTTACACTTGTTTAGAATTTAAAGATTGTATCCTTGATGATGACAGACACCTTACCCCTAAAGGCTGGGCATTCTTAAAGCCTGCCTGTATAATTTTACACTAGAATGGTGTATGTGGTGAGAGGAAGTGATGTACACGTGTAACATTTTAGCAAATTGTTTGCAAACATTACCAAAACAAATTTCAATACAAAATTGAGTTACAAACATTAGACTTGTGATCATTGATATAGTTTCATAAAATAAAGGTCACAGAGCTTATTAAATTTCATCAGTTCCCACCCTGCATATACCTGAAATCCCTTCCTTCCTGTGTGTACACAAGATTTCTGGAATATGAAAGTTTTAGTTGATGATTCCCTTTCTAAACAGAATTCTCATATTCAGACAGATTGGCTTCCCAGTAAGAGTGTAACATCAAAGAATGAAATGTTATCCTCCTTCAGCATTCTCAGTGTATAGTAGAGGAAGAGTAAAAAGCAAACTAGGGCAGATATGTGAAACCACACATAGACAAACTGAAATAAGCCCCTTTCTAAAAATGACTAAAGAGGGGAATGGGAAACCTCATGGAAATGATAGGGAAAGGAACTCTAAACCCAAGGAGAAAAATAAAAATGTTATTTCCACAAAAAAAATGGTAGGGGGGGGATGCCCTAGACTAACTGACCCAGTCATGGCCCTGGGACACAAAAAGCCCAAGAAGATAAGCAGAAAGTCTACAATCTTTACATTACAATTCAGTGGAATATTGGATTTCTGGAGGTTGTGTGCGGGTGAAGTGAGTGGAGAAAGGAGAAACATGAGGTTGGTTTGTAGTGTAAAGGAAGTAAAAAGAAAACACAAAACCTTACAGCACTGGTGCTAGGCTTTATTTTACAAACTTTGTAAATGTTTCACAAGGTTCTCAGCTTCTAAAAGTTCCTAAATTTCTAAATTTTATGCAGGAGCCATTTGTTCTCACTATCTAAGTTAATTATGCATAATTCTCCCCTCTCCCCAAACACCCAGACTCAAATCCTAAGAAATCTGCCAGAAGAGCAGCATCCCCTTCAGAATTTCCTTTATGTCTTAATTTTAAAGATCTGAAAGTTATTGTTGTTTTGGTCACTCACGTATATTTCAGTAATCTTGGATTCTTCAATCTTGGATTGACTTATTTCCTGAGTCTTTGGAGCAGTAAAACGACATCTAAATTGTGTAAAAGTTTACATTTGATGCAAAGGAGAAATGACAGAGCAAGTAAAGAAACCTGCATGTGGTGGAATCCCTTGCAATAATTACCTTCCATAGGACACATATGAGGTTCAGAATATTGGCATCAGTACCAAGTACAGTATAACATTTTAGCAACAGCCAGACAATGAGGACAATTCAAACCTTAGACAGTCAAATTGATCAAAAAAGAACTTTCCAGAGTATAGAAGTACAGTATAATTAAATATGAGTCTAGTTTAAGATTGATAAATTATGTGCTCCGTAGCTAAATGACCATAATGCAAAAACCCTTATGACAGGAAGTTTGCTGCACAAATTGGGATTTAAAGAAAGTGAGGGAACATTACTTGGTATTTTTATCAGATAGGTAATAATTCCTAACCTGAAATATTAAGCAGGAATGAAAGTTGGGAAAGCATGGAGGGGGAATACAGTGACATAACTTTTACAAATAAGAGTTAATTTTATATAATTATGTTTTTTCAATAATGCGTAGAGACATAAAATGAGAGAGCCAACATAACTATGAACAAATAATAGGTCAAGTTCATCATGCTTTTTAATTAATGGGCTGCTGTGATTTTTCCCAATTTTCTATTGAATAAGTATTTCCTATGGGTGAAAAGTAAACATGAAAGTGCAGAGAATTGTAAAACCTTATATCTTTACACATATCTTTAGAATATGTGAGTGTGTATTTGTGTATTTTTCCACCTTACCCACCAGCAATACCCAGAGGTGTGTACTCCCCCCACATATATATATACATGTATATATATATATATGTGTGTGTGTGTGTGTATATATATATATATATATATATATATATATTTCACAAGTATGCCTGTGTCACTCAAACATTGGGACTGGAAACTATTTCTTCATCTCCAAATCTGGCAAGTCTTTCACTGTGATTGTCCCTTCACCTTCCATACCCAGTATGGTAATACATTTCTAATGGCTGTGCCCTTGGTATTTGACATTGTCATGTGTAGTCCTAATCTGTAATGGGGTCAGGATTAGAAATTCCTGGAGGACAGTAGTGGCAGTGGCAGTGGCAGTAGTGGCAGTAATCTGAAATAGTATATGATCCAAACATATATTTGAATTATATTTGGTTTATATTTAAATATACCTGCCCACTCTCTTGGTCTTCTACCACCCAGGAAACCTGCTTTCCACATTCAATCATAAGAAACTTCCTTCTTTACCATGTCCCTCAGCTCCTGGTGGGAAGCACTTTTATTTTTAAGTCCACAAAGATTTCAACATTCAGCCTATCCTTCATTACATATAGAGCATCACCTCAGCTTGACATTCTCCTTGTCTATTTTAAGTATTTTTTCTAGTTTCTAGAGCAGTGTATTTTATAAACTGACACACAAATACATTGTATAAGAATCATCTGGGGATCTGAGGGACTCACCCCAGGAAATTCTGAATTAATAATTCCATTTTAGGTCCAAAGGAGATGATTCTCATGTAGGGAGAGTCCATGAAATGCACTGTTTGAGAAGTACTGATCTACAGAAAGAGACTTTTTTTTCTAAACTCTCCACTTGAATTGTGAGGCCCATTTCTCCTACTATCTCTGTTTCTCTGCAGTTATCCTATCTTATCCACCATGTTTAGGTTCTCTCTCTAGATAATGTTTTCATAAAAATCACTGTTGCTAATATTAAAAATTAAAGAAGAAAAGCCTCTGCTGTCTTCTTGGTAGTGTGTAATATCCTTCTTTTTACTGCCTGACTACTGACATACATTCATTCATTCTTCTTGTTTATTATCCTAAAATTGAAATTTCTTGTTACCTATGTTGACCACTTCCTGGTTCAATTATCTTCCTAAACATTGCCGTATTTAGGTTCGTAGATCAGAATCAGCTTTAAAGCCTTCTCCCTTGACCAGCAAACACTGCCTTCTAGTGGTACTATTTTTTTTCCATTTAGCCCACCCTTATGAAAATTGGTTCTATCAACGGGCTCATTCTTTCCTTCTCTTGAATTCAGAAGACAGAAACAACTTTCTAAAATTCTAGGCTTCAGGGGGCATACAGGTAGGACTGTTAAATTTCAGGAGATATCTTATAGTTACATAAAAAATATGGCAGAAATATCTGTCCAAACTACTATGGTTCAGAAATGTCTTAAAACAAACTTCTAGTAATATCTCTTTTTAAGAAAAAGCTTTAGAATTTGGGGATTCTACTTCACTGATCATTGTGTTTATCCAAATGAGATGCCAAAGCACACCAAACATTCAGATAAGCTCCACACTGATATAACAATGATAGACAGAAATGTTTTCCTTCTCTGATTTTCTTATCTCAGGATGGCAGGGCAGAAGAGAGGACCACATAATATGGTGATACGTCTAATGTGGACTTTTTAATTTCGTAGTGACCCAAAACAGAGTTGCTCTTCAATGCTTCCTACCTTGGGAGCCCAGAATATACTTGCTCTGATTAAAAATGGAAAATATAATATAAATATTGGGTATTATTAACTTAGTAGTTACCAGAGCTCCTTCCTTCTTTTTTCTCAATTTGCCAACCATTTAGCCTGGAAAGATAGTAGCATGGAGATGCAGAATAAAAAAATTACATAAAACCAAAGAAAACTATAGTCTTAGAATAGATAAATTCTAAGTTAAGATGCCTTTCAAAACAGGAAAGTTAAAAAATTATTTTATTAAAAGTAAGCATGAAGGGAATTCAGATGGTTTGATTATTTGTGAGTAGGAAAAAATTTCCATTTAAGATGAATATAGATAAAATATGGCCTCCATAATTTTCACAAGAAGTTTATTATTCTATTATTTCTCTTGGTTTCTCTTTTGAGAAATTAGATAACTGAGTTCAAATATGAGTATAAGGTGCATATGTTATTAAAATCTAGGAACAGGATAAAGAAATTCAAGATCATGTTCAAAGGTTAAGAAATAAAGGTTGAATAGACAATACAGTAATTCTCAAATATATGGTATCTTTTTCAGCTAAAACTCAGCCTTAACTGCAACAAAGAATACTTTACTAATAGGCATCACCTAGTGGGTTTATTCTTTTGAAATGCTGTTTCTCCAGAATTATTTGTCTAACATTTCTCCATAATATCCTTCAAAGAAATATGTTAAAGTGTTAAAGTTTTTAATCTGGTGCTTAGTAACACCTTTATTGCTTGACTTTTCCTCATATATCTTGCAATGAATTACAACAAAAGTTATATGCTTAATATCAATGGCACTGCAACAATCTATTTTTACTTCTCAAATCCTTAAAAAGGTCATTTAAAAATGTACACGTTTTCATGAGGCATATACTCCTTGAACTATTTGTTAATAATTATAATTTAATCTATTGTGAAATTAATTTTGATGGTTTTGTTTTTTTGAGAAAGTAAGCTGCTGGGCTGCTACTTTAACAATGTTTGCATCAATCCACTGAAAACATCTACATTTTAGAATAGTAGAATCTGATTTTTTCATATAGAATTTTAGAGCTGAGAAATCAATTAACATAGGACTTTTCACTTTATGTGAAAACTAAATCCTGGAGAAAGTAAAAAATTGACCCAGAGCTATATAGTTAATTATTGGAAAAGGTGGGCTAAAACTTAAATCTCCTGATTATCTGACTTGTTGAAATACTTGTTCACCGAAGTAATCCCAGAACTGTGTCATGTTTCTATGACAGTTTTGCTAGATTACATGAATATCTTGCCAGTTTTAAACTTATAATTTCATTCTATATGTTGTCTATATTCAATATTCTTTCTATTTAGCTCACATTTTTCCGTGATAAAACGTTTTCTAAGAGGATTAAACATTCATGTTCTATAAGTAATGTGAATTTCAAAGAATTTACCTATGTTTTACCATTCTGAAAATAAATTGGTATCTCTTCACACCTCATATATAAGTGTTGCTAAAATGAACTGTTAGTCTAAAGGTTCCAACAGTGATAAAGTTCAGGGAACCATATTTTGTGGCAAACAAGGAAAAGATATCCATATTTAAAGGTAAGGAGATAATGCTTATAGATGAATATGGAAATCTTAGGATGCTGTTCATAAATGTTATATTTTCTTTCTTACGATGCCATATTTAAACTTCAGTCTCAGAAAAAGATCATTTGTGCCATGAAAAGGCATTCAACTGTTGCAAAGATGAACTTAAAAAAACAAAACCAACACTCTGTAGTGTTTTTAAATGATGCTCTTTTAATGTCATTATCTTGTATTGTTATTCACATATTGAGATGATATTTCTTTTAGAGTTGATGTAATATAAATAAACCAACTAGACTTTGTATTCAATATCTAGTCCTTACTGCTGTGTTTTAAGCTTTTTACCAGTCTGTTTAGCACTCAAAAATAGATGTTAAAAGATTACTTCAATAGCAAGTAAATGAACTGATTTCCATTATCTTTCTAATGGTATCATGAGTATACCTCAGCTTTTCATAACTGTATGCAGTTTAAATTTATGCATAGTTACAAAATTTCCAATGCTTCTATCACTATTTGTCTTTTACAAATGACCACACTCGGTCCAAGGAGATTCTGGCATGTCTATTCTTTTGGTAAATGATGCTTAGGTTCTTCCAATGTAAATTCTAAAGAAACAAGGCAGATTGGAATTTTACCAGAAAAATTGACAATTTTTATTCTATGTTTTTTGCAGGATCCAACTGGAATATTCTCACTAGATAAGACCATTGGCCTTGGTACTTATGGACGAATCTATTTGGTAAGTGGAATGAGATTATTCATTCTTTATTTCTAGTAACAATGATAATTGTAAATGAAACCCCAAGCCCCACACTGCAAGTGAAATAATGACAGTACATAACTTTTCACTTTGAAAGATGAATCAAATTAATATAGTTCAGTGACACCGTTAAAGATCATTGCTTATTATTACAAAAGGAATGGATTGGTTATTCTATAGTAAACCAACCAACCCAACATGATATCCAAAACTTATTAGCAGAAAATTAAAATCACCATTGTAAAAGGGACCAAATTCAAGTAAGATGTGTCCAAATAAAAGTATCATTTGTGGCTGGGGATTTAGCTCAGTGCCACAGTGCCTGCCTTGCAAGCTCAAGGTTCTGAGTTTGATCCTCAGCACCAAAAAAAAAAATTATTTATGTATAGTACACATCCCTGCCATCCTAGTTACCCATATTCAACTTTAAACTGATTGTTATTAAAAGGAAAAATTTCATAACATTCGATATCAAACTATATACAGATGCATATATGTGTGTGACAAAGTTTGCTAAAGAATCTAACAAAAATCCTGCACATATTTAATGATAATATATTTACACACTAAATATTTACCAGGCATTGTTAGTCTCTGGGGTAAAATGATGAAAAAAACAATGTTTCTGCTATTCTAGGGCTTATGGTCTAGAAATGTGTAAGTGTGCCTATGTCTTGGAAAGCAAAGTTTAAAGGAGCCACAGATACTGCATATGAACCCAAAAACGGCACAATATCAAATTTAATATTTGTCTGTAAGAAAATTCCTACTGATATAAAAGCATAGACTTGGGGGCTTTATTTGGAATGGAGGATCAATGTTAATCGTATACTCCCTGGAAACTGACAGTTAAACTTATGCCAAGAGGAAATATATGAGGTAACCAAGCAAAAGTGTGGTTGTGGAGGATGATTTAATGCATTCTAGGTAGGATGAAGGGGTGATCTTAAGGGATGGCTTGGGGTTGAGGTGCTTTAATAGCCCTATTACCTTGGTCAGCTACCTTTCTCCCACTCTCTAATATGGAAAATTGGAATTTTCTCAATCTGTACACTGTACAGGTTCTATACAAATGCAATGGTCTCTTTCCTAGGCCTGTCCCTCAAAACTAAAATTACTGTACTATGGCTGATCCTTACTGTAGGTTGATCATTATATATATATATATATATATATATATATATATATATATATGTTGTGTAGTGTGTTGTGATCATGGTGTATATGTGTAGTGGTGTCCTGGTATTGGCCTAGCAGTGGTGTCCTGGTATTGCCCTTCTTTCTAGTTCAGATGAGGGCAGTCTGCACTTGCCAAGATTTACAGCTCTGGATTTACATCTACCAAGAAGAGGCTACTTTTTCACTTCATCTCCCGAGTCTGGAGTGGAGAGATGATTTTTAAATCTTCCACAAAAGCACCTACAGCATAGAAGTTGCATAGCAAAAATAGCGTGTGGGCAGGCCCTGCAAGCAGAAAGAACGATGGTGAGTATAGGGAACAGTGAGAGTGCCAGTTTTTATGATCAAAGTTGTTTTACTCAAACCATTTGACCTTACCTATGAAACAAAACTAATAGCTATAGACAATGATATAATAAGACACAAATATATCATTTAGGGTATCTTAATTGCATCACATACTCAATGATTAGTTACAAGTGGTGTGATCTTCGTCAGCTTTGCCACCTTATATATTGATATCTACAACTTATAGCCAGAAGAAGTTCCATTTCTGTATGACAGATTTAAAATTTCCATGGCTCTATACATATTTTAATTCCTGAAGTGTGGGAGCCGAGCCGGGGATTTAGCTCAGTGGTTCCGGCGCCTGCCTCGCAAGTACAAGGTCCCGAGTTCGATCCCCGGTACCAAAAAAAAAAAAAGATTAATTCCTGAAGTGTGTGTGTGTGTATTTCCTCTGACTTGAAGATACAGAGTTGTCTCCAACATTAAATGTTAGAAATTATCCCAGAAACAAGGTAAGAAGCAAAAGTGGGATTAGAAAACACAAGATGATTTTTTTAAGAATCATTTACCAGAACAATGATGCAGCAAGAAGAAGAAAAGTAAAGAGGGTAAACAGGTAAGTTGAGCATGAGAATTTCATTTTCTAAAAGCCAGGAATTTTTTACTTCATTAGAAAATAAAACAAATTTTTCATGACCGAATAATAAGAGAGTAACAATAATTATTACACTGTGTATCGTCATCTTCAAAGTAGTTACTCGATATAAGACATAAACCAAAAAGATTCTTAAAAAAAAAAACATATTAACATAAACTTTATTTTTAATGAACATAAAAATAAATAAAAATCAGGATATATTGAGGTATACTATATACAGAGTAAAATTTACCTTTTTAAAGTTTATGGGTTTGAACAACAATGAAAATTTTCAACACATATTCAATTAATGAGAGTGTACCTTCAAGAAACTTTCAGTCGCTTCACTGTATAATGTCCCAGATAGTGTATTGCGGTTATAATTGCCATATATTTTTTCACACATAATGTAAACTTACCATAATACTATATTTTATTATATTTCTACATCTATTCTTTTCCCTATATTCACTACTACTATTTATATTTAGATAGTCAATTATTTTTTAGAGTAATTAAAAATAATCTTCAGTTTAACCTTTTCTGGATTTTTTATTTCTTTATGCAAATTCCTGTTTCTATCTGGTATAAAGAACTGAAGCTCAAAGAACTTCCCCTAATGTTTTCTATAGTTCAGGACTTCCAGTAATTGATTCTCTTTGGGGAAAAAACAACAACAACAACAAAACCCTATTTCTTCTTTAGTTTTGAAAGATTTTTACACTGGGCACAGGATTCTGGGTTGATAGGGTTTTTTCTTTCTTTCTTTCTGCACTGTAAAGATATGACTCCATTGTCTTCTGGTTTACATAGTTTCTGAGGTCTCCTGTTTTTCTTATCTTTGCTTCATTGTAGGTTTCCTCTAGCCACTTTTATGACTTTTCTCTTCATCTTTGTTATTCAGAAGTTTAAATATGAAACATGTACAGGGTTGGGATTTTTGTTGTTGATATTAGTGTGTGTGCCTGTGTTTATGGAATATCTGTCAACAATAATGTCAGGTCAGGATTAAAGACCTTTGGTGTTGTAGGAACTTCTTGAAAATGTAACTCAACATATTTCATTATTGTATGGAAGTTCTTGGTTTTTATCTCTTTAGATATTTATTCTGCCTTGTTCTCTTCTTTTGTAAATGCAATTTCGTGTGTGATAGACTATTTAATATTATCCTACTGCCCTTGTGTGCTCTGTTTTGGAGTGTGCTGTGTGTGTGTGTTCTCATTCTCTTTTCATGTTTCAGTTTATATCATGTTTTTTCCTATCTTCATTTCCACTGACTCCTTTCTCAGATGTTTGAAGTTGAATGAGGTGAATACTAAAAGTATTCTTCAGCTATTACTGTTTTCATTTTTAGCATGTCTACTTGAAATGTTTATAGTTAACATCTTTGCTAAAATTACCCATTTGTTCATGTATGTTTTTCATATTTTCACTAAACCCTTTCATGTATCATAGTTTTGTTAAATTCTGTGTCTGATAGTTTCAACATCTAAGTCATCTTTGAGGCTGTTTATGTTGATTGCTTTGTCTCTTGAAAGTGGTCTTTTTTTTCCTTGTAATTTTTAGGCATCTCAGAATTTCATTTTGAATGTCAGACATAATATACAGAACCATACAAGTTGAAAGAAATAGTATCTGTGTCTTGAAATTGTCATGTTACTTCAGCTGATTTACTAGTTTATGTGGGAGGTTAAGTAACTTTAAAAGGAGATAAACTGGATTATTTTGTTGCTGTGGTTACCCCCAGTTTACTACCATCTTCAGATTTCTCTATTTCCTTGTGCTTAAAATTCGGATTCGTTTACTGGGGGTTTTATCAATATTCATGCTTTACCCTCAACTTTAGACTTTCTCTGTTCATGTGTACATCAGAAAGCCTATCTCTCCATGCTCTGGCCTTCTAGGTGTGTACTGCTATTGCTTCTTACTAAGTGCTCCTTAGCCTGTTGGTACCCAGTAGGGAGGAGTTCTTTGTTTTCCTGAATAAACTTCAGTTTTCACAGAACCTATGTCACTGAGTCACGGGAGTGGGGCTTGTGTAGTTATTCTGCCTCTCTCTTAGGTGCAGGACAAACCTCTAATAGTTTTTGCCAAGAACTAATTATTACCCTTCCCCTGAAAGCAGAGGACTTTATTTTATTACCTTTCCCCAACTGCAGTAGATCTACATAGGTACCCTGGAGGGAATAAGGGAATAGAATCTGCCACCTTTCTCCCTAGGGTTTAGGACTTGTACTCTTTACAGGTAAAGGAACTGGACCTGCTTTCAAGCCTTCCCCACTGTGATGGCTTCACTCCATTAGGTCTGAGTCATAAATTTATCTGTAAGAGTTGAGTGTGTGTGTGTGTGTGTGTGTGTGTGTGTGTGTGTGTGTGTGTAAATTCCTCTTCTCTGTGGCCATCCAGGTTTAGGTACTGTCATGCAATCCCACACTTGGCCCTTAACAATTCATTAAAAATAATTGCATTCTTTATACCTGCTTCTTTGGTGACTGTCTTCCCCTTGCAGCCACAGGTGAGCCAGTATTCATGTGCCATCCCTCTGTGCAGGAATCTGTTTTTCTTCACACTTGATACCAGTTGGTTGCTGTGACATTTCTGTCTAGATTAAAGAAAAGTGAGAATTTGTAGATTATTCAGCGTTTTATTGTTAGAGTGGTATGCTTTCCAGATTTCACATCTTCATCATAAGCAAGAAATCCACATCCATTCCTTTTAAATGAATCTTCCTGAAACATCTACTATTATGCTAGATTCTGTATACATTTGTAATTCATAAGAATTTCATGGTAACCTAGTCAGACCTGGAGATAGAGAACAATATCATCAGATTTTCAAAGGAGAAAACTGTGCTACACAAGGTAGATGCATACTG